CAACTATTAATGGATATTGAAGTTTTTTCCATTTTTGGCTATTAAAAAATCCTATGCTATAAATATTACCACACATGAAACCGGGTTCACACGCGTGTTAGTTTCTCAGTGACCTATTTCTTGGAGTAAAACTCCTAAGTAATAAGTAATGCATATTTTCAACTTTACTACAAGTTGCTAAAATCTTTACTACTGTGGTGGTTCCCATTTTCCTTTGCACCAGCAGTTCCTAATGCTCCACATTATTTCCAAGAGTCACATGCTCTTCCAAATGAACCACCCAGGTGCCCCAGGACTCTTAAGGTTTTTAAAATATGACAATAGTAAGATCCTGCCTCCTGAATCATTGCTGCTTCTACCCACTAAGGAGAAGAGCTGAAAATTTCTCCAGAGCCAGATACCTTCCTGCACTACCTGAGGTGACAGTGCAGGGCTTTTATGGACAGGGCTCCCAGATGTAAAGTTTAGGAATTCTGCTTCAGTATCATCCCACAAATTTTGATATATAGCATATTTTCATTATTGTTTAGTTCAAGTTGTATTCTAATACGTATTGTGATTTCTTCTTAACCCATGAGTGATTTAGAAGTGTTACTTAACTTCAAAACTTTTGAGATTTTTCCAGTTATTTTTTCTTAACAATGTCTAGCGGTCAAGGTGTGTACTTACAGTGATTTTCAATCTTTTGAAATTTGTTGAGCCTTGCTTACAGTCTATTTTGGTGAATGTTCCGTGGGTACTTGGAATGAATCTGTAGCTTCAGCTGCTGAAGGTTGCATTCTATGACAATAAAAAAGGTCAATTTTGTTAATAATGTTCATATATTTGGGGTGCCTGGGTGGCTTAGCTGGTTAAGCATTTGACTCTTGATTTCAGCTCAGGTCATGATCTCAGGGTGATGAGATCGAGCTCCATGTCGGGTTCCATGCTGAGTGTGAAGCTTGCTTAAGATTCTTGCTTAGGATTCTTTCTCCCTCTCTCCTCCTCCCTCCCCTCGCTATCCCTCTCTCTCGCTCTCTCTCTCTTAAAAAAAAATAATGTTCATATATTCCATATCCTTATTTTCTATCTGCTTTTCTATCAAATACTTGGAGAAGTGTATTTAAATCTCAAGCTATGAGGATGGACTTGTCTACTTCTTCACTTCTGTTATATCTTGAAGACATATTATTAGGTTTATGTACAGTGGTATACTGGCAAATGTATAACAATCAACTATTTTAAAAAAGGAAAAGAGGGTGCCTGGGTGGCTCAGTTGGTTGGGCGGCTGCCTTCGGCTCAGGTCATGATCCTGGGGTCCCGGGATCGAGTCCCGCATCGGGCTCCCTGCTCAGCAGGGAGTCTGCTTCTCCCTCTGACCTTCCTCCATCTCATGCTCTCTCTCTACCATTCTCTCTCTCAATAAATAAATAAAAATCTTTAAAAAAAATAAAATAAAAAAATAAAAAAGGAAAAGAAAGAGTCTTGATTTGTAGAATTTGCCAATACCCATGGTGTAAATACTAATGATATGGTCAATTTTAAGTTACCAATGTGACACCACTGAATACTGTATTGGGAAGAGATGTTTATAATTATCTCCTGTGAGTTGGTATGAGCGAACTCCAGCAGTCATTCTAAATGTTCATGCACATTTAGAATTATTACATCTTTCTGTTCAAGTAGTTCTTTTATTATTGTGAAATAGCCCTCTTTTATCTAGCAATACTTTCTGCCTTAAATTATTCTTTGCCTGATATTAATATATTAACCTTATCTTTTTCGGCTAATATTTTCATAGTGTATTAGTTTCATCATTTACTTTCAACCTATCTGCCCCATTTTTTAAAGATTTATTTATTTATTTGAGAGAGAGAGCCCAGGCGGGGGAAGGAGCAGAGGGAGAGAATACCTAAGCAGACTCCTGCTGAGCAGGGAGCCCAGCAGAGAGCTCGATCCCAGGACCCATGAGATCAGGTCCTGAGCTGAATCCAAGAGTCAGACCCTTAACTGACTGAGCCACCCAGGCACCCGGGTCCCATTTTATCAAAAAGTAATTCAGCATATACTTCAGTTTTATTTTCTGTTTTTCTCCAATCAGTGTTTAGACTTTAATTGGAATGGCGAATCCGTTTACATTTATTGTAATTACTGACACAGTTAGGCTCAAGTCTAACATATCGCTATTTATTTTTTGTGTCGTGTCTTCTTTGTTCTTCTATTCCTCCTTTCCTGCCTTTTTAAAATATTAATCAAATATTGTTTACTACCTCACTATCTCATTTCTTTAGTTATATATCTTTTAATATTAATGTTTTACAATAAGCATACTCAAATTATTACAATCTACCCTTAATCAGTACTTTCACTACATTCTAACCTATGTAAACATTAAAACAGTTTAACTTCATTTGTTATCTCTTGACATTTTTGTTATAATTTTTTGTATTAGACTCCTGAATTTTTTGCAAGCACTATGAAGACATTGTTGTCAATTTTAAGTAAATGGAGTTTTTAAAATTCTGTTAAAATATATATAGCACATTGTTTATTATTTTTCAGTAGTCTTTTTATTAACCCATATATTTATTTTCTTCAGGTCTGCTCATTTAATATTACCCTTTTTTGTTTATATACGGTATCATTTTCGTTCAGCATAAAGAGCTTTAGTGGGTTTTTTGTAGTGTCAGTCCGCTATTGTTGAATTCTCTCTGCTTTTGGTTTGTTTCAGAATGTGTTTCTATTCTCCTTCATTTTGCAGTATGTTTTCCCTGGATCAGAGTTCTCTGTTGCCACTTATTTTTCAGCACTTTAGAAATGCCAACACATTCTCTTCATGCCTCAGTTGTTACTATTACAGACACATGTGTCATTTTTATTGTTCTCCTAAAAGAAATATGTGTTCTTTTCTCTGTCTGCTTTTAAGATTTGCCTTTATCTTAGGTTTTTAGCAAAACCTCAGTATGGTTTTCTTTGTATTTACCCTCTTGGGGTTTTTTTCCTTATCTTTTGAATTTGAGAGTTGATTTTTTTTATCAATTTTTGAAAGCTTTCAACTATTCTTTCTTCAAATACTTCTGTCTTTTCTCTCCTCTAGTTTTGGAACTATCACTTGACTCTGCTCCATATATTTCCTGTACTCTATTTTATTTGTTGTTGGCGTTTTCTACACTTTTATCTTTCTGTATTCATTTTGAATATTTCCAAATCAATCCTCAGATTTAATACGTTTGTGTTCTGTTATGTCCATTTGGCTCTTAAATAAATGTAATGATAAAGTTTATATTACTTAATTCCCATTGACAAGTGTTTGCTCTTTCTTGATCTAATCAAGAAGTGAACTCGGATGGGTCTGGGTTGTACTTCTATTTTGAGTTAGTCCATTTCTGGTTTCAAAAGTCTTAAGGTAAAGACCTTCTTGGCTTTTTATCAAGAACCTGGTTGGTCTCTTCTTCTTCAATCCCAGAACACTCTTAGAGATTTATCCTGCTTTTCTGGTGTTTTGACCTCTGCTCTTAAATCTCACCCTAAGTGACTTTCAAAGGTGGCCCCTGTCTTGATGGGGATACAGTTGTGTATTTGAAATGAGATCCTTATTGGGACTTTTTCTAAGAGACTATAAGAATGTCCACTCCACTCTTAAGACACTACTTAGGCTCCAGGAGAGCACCTTTATTCTTCAGGGTTTCAGAATTTTTCATGTTAGACATATCTCTGAAAGTTTGTCTACTTCTTCTTTTCCTCATCACAATACTCCATTCAGGCAAACCCTGAACTTCAATCCATACCTGGAGTTGGCAAACACGACCTGGGAAAAAATGGTTAAAAACAATATGTTTGCATAAAACAGGCCCGTCTCACTTTGGTTTAGTTCATTTAATCCTTTTTCTTCTCAAAATATCCAGTTCCTTTCAACACACACACACACACACACACACACACGAATTTGTTCTGGTTTTTCTAATTTGCAGCAGGAATGTTGTCCTGTTACATCCTATTCCATTGTATTTGGAATGTTCCATTCAAGTGGTATCATCTTGCCATGCTTTATTTTTCTAAATAGAATTTATCTGCCGTAATGCATATCATACATCTCTTTAATTACTTATTTAATAACAAACTTCCCTAGCACAGTGGAAATGCTTGAGAAGAGGTACTTGGTCTCTTTTAAAATTTATTGTTTTTTTCTTCAAAACTTAGAATATTTTTCTGAGGAATACATGCAAATGCCAATTGGTACTCAAAATCACTAATCATCAGGCATATGCAAATCAAAACCACAATGAACTATTACCTCATACCTGTTAAAATGGCTTTTATCAAAAAGACAAGAGATAACAAGTGTTGGTGAGAATGTGGAGTAAAAGGAACAATTGTATACTTTGGGTGGGCATGTAATTTGTTACAGGCATATGGAAAACAGTTTGGATGTTCCTCAAATTTAATAGAACTACCATATGATACAGCAATCCCATTTCTGGGTATATATCTGAAGGAAAAGAAATCAGTATCTTGAAGAACTATCTGCACCCTCCTGTTCATTATAGCTTTATTCACAATAGCCAACATACAGAAACAACCTAAGAAGTGTCCACTGATGGATGGATGGATGAGGAAGACGTGATATATGTATGTACGACGGAATATTGTTCAACCATGAGAAAAAAGAGAATCTTGATATTTACAACAATATGGTTGAACCGAGAGGACATTATGTTAAACGTAATAAGCCAGAGATAGACAAATACTTCATGATTAAACTTCTATATAAAATTAAAAAAAAGGAAAGATCAAATTCACAGAAGCACAGAGTAGGATGGTAATTATCAATGACTTGCAGATGGGGGGAATGAGGAGATGATGGTCCATGGGTGTAAACCTTCAGTTATAATTTGAATAATTCTGAAGGTCTACCATATAGCATGTTGCAATGAGTGAAATTATGCTAATAAGAGGATATAATTCACCAATGAAACAATTCATTTCTAATTTGATTTTTTTATTAAGGTAAAACATTATTTATACTGTTTTTGTTTCTATTGCAAGAGAAGCCCTGTGATTTTCCAGAAATAAAACATGGAAGTTTATACAATGAAAAGAGCTATGGATCATACTTTCCAGCAGCTATAGGACAAAAGTTTTACTATTCCTGTGATTCCAATTTTGTGACTCCTTCACAAAAGCAGTGGGAATACATTACTTGCACACACAAAGGATGGGAACCAGCAATACCATGCCGCAGTAAGTAAACCTTTTTATAATTGTATATGTGTACGTATTTCAAATAGTAGAGGGGGGAAAACACGTAAGTGAGTACAATTAAGCCTTATATAACAAAAATGAGGCCAAGGGATGAGTTTTATGAGCAAAAAGACCAATATAGGTTTTTCCTTTAATGAGGAGCTCTACATAAAAATCACATTACAGATAAAGATAGAAGCTTTTCAAAAACACCTATATCATTCATACAAATTTTAATTATAAAAACTGAAGATAAATAATATTGAATATTGATTTTTTTCTTTCTACACATTTGGTAGTAGCTTTAGTTTTTCTCAAGTTTTTGGATACTTATGCATTATGGTTTTAATATTGTACAAACAGTTTTTAACTTACTGCTTTGCCTGAATTTGTGGGTTTTTAAAATTTTTTGTTCACCATTTTTATGATTTTTAGGACGATGTATTTTCAATTATTTGAAAAATGGAGATTATCCAAGGTATGAACAAACATTTCTCCAAGATGAAACTGTGAGAGTTAAATGCAATTCTGGTTATGGTCTTCAAAATGGGCAGACTATAATGACATGTACAGAGAATGGCTGGTTCCCTCCTCCAGAATGCATTCTTCTCGGTAAGTAAATGGTCTGAGATCCCAGTATATTTATGGTTTTCTTTTATTCTTTTATTTTTTAAAAGACACTTATTTATTTGACAGAGAGATAGAGAGCACAGGTAGGCAGAGCAGCAGGCAGAGGGATAGGGAGAAGCAGGTTCTCCGCTGAGCAGGAAGCCAGATGCGGGGCTCAATCCCAGGACCCTGGGACCATGACCTGAGCTGAAGGCAGACGCTTAACCGACTGAGCCACCCAGGTGCCCCTATTTATGGTTTTCTAACCCACATATTTATTAACTGTAGCAAAATGTTTCTATCAACTTTCTTATTTCTGCCGATGGATATACATAGCTTTATTTTTTTCCAAGTATGTACGAGTGGATATACACATTTCTTGATACATATGCAGCAAAATAGATGTCTCCTGATAGGTATTAGTCAAGAAAACAGTAAAAGAATCTCAAAGAAGAAACCTGTAATAATAGAGTGATACCAGCAGTGGAGGGAAGAAGATGGCAGTGGAGGAGGAGGAGCCTAGCCTCGCCTCGACCCATGAATCCACCTAGATAACCATCAAACCATCCTAAGTACCCCAGAAATCAACCTGAAGACCGGCAGAACAAAATCCACAACTAAAGGTCAAGAAGAGGCCACATTGAAGAAATAAGATGTACACAGTTTGAGAGAAACGGATTGTGGCCACTGAGGTGGGGAGAGAGCCATGGTCACAGAGAAAGGCAAGGGACAGATTAACACACAAGGGAGCACATGGGAAAAATGAATTACCATAGCAATTGTCTTGGAAAGTGAGAGAGGCCAAATTTCATAATTCTTATAACCAGTGGGGTTTAAAGCCTGGGGTTTTCAAGGTCAGTGTGCTTGGCTCTGGGACAGCTCAAAGGACATTGGGGCTTGGAGAAAAGGCAACCAAGCAGCCTGTCAACATACAGCTGGAAAGAGCAATCTGAAGAGCACACAGGGCACACAGTGAAGAGCGTGTTGCAGAAAGGCAGTTTTCACAGAGAGAGCCCTTTGGCAACAAAGGAACTGGCAGGTGCCATTGCCCTCCCCTACCCTTCAGCATAAACACAGAGCCACCTGTGGGAACCAGCACAGGGCCAGCACTCACTACTTAACTTGCTTGCACCAAGTCCCACCTCCCTGTGCTCCAGTGGAACCACCCTTCCCGGTCATGCTTGCCTCAGTCCCTGAACAGCCAGCCTCCTCCCCCAGAAAACCAAGCCGAACCCCTGCCCCCACCACATCTCCCAACCTGGGAGTTTTGGGAAGCCTTGATTCCAGCAGTGGTGATAAGAGGTCTCATTTCACAAGCAGACCAGAGCACACCTGAAGTTAAAACTCACCACAGTCAGACCAGGGACCAAACACTGACCAGAGAGGGCCTCTGCAGATGATTGGCCCGAAGGATAAAGCAGTCAGGACACAACAGCAGTGTGCATACAGCACACATTGGGGACACTCCCTGAAGTGTCAGGCCCTGGGGGACAAGGGTCACAACACTGCAGAGCATTATAGAATCTCTTCTTCATAAGGCCATTACCCTCAAGAACAGAAGTAGCTGACTTTCTGAACAAAGAAGCATGTACAGCAATTTAGACAAAATGAGAAAACACAAGAATTTGTCCCAAATGAAAGAACAATACAAGGCCACAGCCAGAGATGTAAGTAAAATATATACTAGCAATATGCCCGATAGATAATACTATAAAGATACTCTGTGGACTTGAGAAAAAAAGTCGAAGACATGAGTGAGACCTTTAACACAGAGATAAAGAATAACATAGCAGAGATCAAGGGCTCAATAAACAAAATGAGAAACACACTTGATGGAATGAACAGCAGGTTGGAGGAAGCAGAGGAATGAATTAATGCCATAGAAGACAGAGTAATGGAAGTAATCACACTGAACAAAAGAGAGAAAAAAGAATTATGAGAATAGACATAGGGAACTCAGTGACTCCCTCAAACACAACAACATTCCTATTATAGGAGTCCCAAAAGAAAAAGAGAGGGAAAAGGGGGCAGAAAATTTATTTGAAGAAATAATAGCAGAAAACTTCCCTAATCTGGGGGAGGAAGCAGATATCCAGATCCAGGAAGCGTAGAGAACGCCCCAAAATCACCAAAAGCAGACCCAAACCAAGACATATTATAATTAAATTGGCAAAACATAGTGATACAGAAAAAATTTTAAAAGCAGCAAGACAAAAACAAAACAAACAAAAAGACAGTTTTCCCTTTATAAGGGAAAACCCATAAGGCTACCAGGGAATTTTCAGCAGAAATTTTCCAAGTCAAAAGAAAGTGGCATGATAAATTCAAAGTGCTGAATGGGAAAAACCTGTAGCCAAGAATATTCCATCCAGAAAGCCTATTCCTCAAACAGAAGGAATGATAAAAGAGTTTCCAGGACAAACAAAAATTAATGGAGTTCATGACCACTAATCCAGCCCTGCAAGAAATATTAAAGGGGACTCTGTGTGAAAAGAAGAGACCAGAAGTGACAGTACAAATGTAGGAAACCCAACGCAGTAAAAATGAATATTTCTGTAAAAAAAAAAAAATACAGTCAAGGAATTCACAAAATAAAAGGATGTAAAATATGACACCATATACCTGGGGAGGAGAGGAGTAAGAATGGGTTCACACTTAAATGACCATCAACTTATTATAGACTGCTATGTGCAGAAGATGTTAAATAAAAACCTAATGGTAACCACAAATCAAAACCACTAATAAATATGCAAAGAATAAAGGGAAAGAAATCCAATATGTCACTAAAGAAAACCAGCAAACCGTAAAAGAGAGAAATAGAAGAAAGGATCTGAGAAAATCTTCAGAAAAAAACATAAAACGGGTAATAAAGTGGCAATAAACACATATCTATCAATAATTTCTTTAATGGAAATGGACTAAAGGCTCCCATCAAAAGACATAAGGTGACAGAATGGATAAAACAAGACCTATCTGTATGCTGCCCACAAAACTCATTTTGGAACAAAAGTCACCTGCAGATTGAAAATGAGGAGATGGAGAACATCTATCACGAAAATGGGTGTCAAAAGAAAGCTGGGGTAGCAATGCTTACATTGGAGAGAAATCAAGGAAACATGATACCACTGAAGGAACACAATAATATTCCAGTAACTTACCCCAAATTATGATCTATGATTTTCCTGGTAAAGAATTCAAAACAGTAGTTTTAAGGAAGCTCTGTGAGCTATAAGAAATCACAGGAAATATTTTAGGCATTGCATGAGTCCCAAAAGGAGAAGAGATGCAGGAAGGGACAGAAAGTTTATTTAAAGAAATAATGGCTGAGAATTTATCAATCTAGGAAGACATATGGACTAACAAAATCAAGAAGCTCATAGGTCCCCAAAGAGATTGTCTCTAAGACACCTTATAATAAAGCTGGCTAAAACCAAAGACAAAGAGAGAATTTTCAAAGCAGCAAGAGAGGAAAAAATGCCTCACATACCAAGGCAGTTCTATGAGCGGTGTTTATAGTGATAAGAAAAAGAAATTATTTCAAATATACAATCAACTTTATACATCAAAAAAACTAGATAAAGAACAAACTAAGCCTAAAATTAACAGAAGCAAGGAAATAACAGAAATCAGAGAAGAAATCTATGAAATGAAGACCAAAAAAATCAACAAAATTAATACCTACCTTTTTGAAAAGATAAACAAAATTGACAGACCTAACACTGATAAACTAAGAAAAAAGAGAGAAGATAAAATAAACAAAATGAGAAATGAAAGTGGAAACATTCGACTGATGCCACAGAAATACAAATGTTCATAAGAGACAAGCATAAACAATTACACACGAACAAATTAGATAACCTAGAAGAAATGGATAAATTTCTAGAAATACAAAACTTGCCAAAACAAAATCATTAAGAAATAGAAAATCTGAACAAATCAGTAACAAGCAACAAGACTGAATCGTTAATTTAGAATATCTCTACAAAGTCTGTGACCAGAGTTTTCATTTTAATTTAAAGAAGAATTAATACCAATTCTTCTCAAACCATTCCAAAAATTTGAGGGCAGGAGGCACTTCCAATACCACTTTACCAGATCAGCATGACTTTAGTATCAAAGCTAGACAAGGACACTACAAGAAAAAAGAAATTATAGGCCAGTATCACTGATAAACATAGATCAGAAATGCTCAACAAAATATTAGCAAACTGAATTCGACAGCATATTAAAAGATTCATACACTGTAATGAAGTTGCGCTTATCCATGGGCCTCAAGGATGGTTCAACAGATGCAAATCAGTAATGTGATAAACCCCATCAACAACACAAAGGTTAAAAATCATATAATCATCCCAATAGACAGAGAAAAAGCATTTGACACAATTCACAATCCATTTATGGTAAAAACTCTCAACAATTAGGTGTTGAAGAAACAGACCTCAACATAATAAAGGCCGTGAATAAGAAGCCTATAACTAACATCATATATAATGGTGAAAAGCTGAAAGCTTTTCCTCAAGGTCAGGAAAAAGACAAGGATACACACTGTCACCACTGGTGAACAAAGGGAAAGAAAAGGTACCCAAATAAAAAATAAAGAAGTAAAATTATCTCTGTTTGTAGATGACATATATAGAAGAAACCCTAAGACTCCACACACACACTCACACACACACACAAACTGTTAGAATTAATAAATGAAGTCAGTAAAGTTGCAGGATACAATATCAATACACAAAAATCTGTTGTGTAATGAATAATGAACTATCAGAAAGAGAAATTTAAAAAACAATACCATTTACAATAGCATCAAAAATAATAAGATACTTAGGAATAAATCTATCCAAGGAGATGAAAGGCTTGTATCCTAAAAACAATAAGACAATGATAAAATAAATTGAAGAAAATATAAATAAATGGAAAAATAGTGTATGTACATGGATTGGAAGAATTAATATTGTTAAAATGTGCATACTACCCAAAGTGATCAATAGATACAATTCATGTCAAGATAGCACTGGCATTTTTCACAGAAGTAGAATAAACACTCCTAAAATCTACATGGAACCACAAAGACTCCCAAAGAGCCAAAGCAATCTTGAGAAAGAAGAGCTATGCTGAAGGCATCATGCTTCCTGATTTCAAACTATATTATAGAGTGATTAAAATGAAAATAATATCATATTGGCAGATCAATGGAATGAAATTAGGAGCCAGAAATAAAGTCACACATATATCCTTGATTAAAATTAGATAATGGTGCCAAGTATACACATGAGGAGAGTAGCGTCTTCAGCACAAGCAAAAAAAATGAAACCACAATATTAAACCACTGATGAAAATTAACTCTAGATGACTTAAATATGACTTGAAACTATAGAAGTCCTAGAAGATACATAGGGAAATATCTTCTTGACATTGGTCTTGGCGATGATATTTTTTGGATATGACAGCAAAGCACAGACAGCAAAAGCTGAAATACATAAAACTATATGAAATGAAAAACTTCTACTCATTAAATCAACACAATGAAAAGGCAACCTATGGAATGGGAGAAAATATTTGCAAACCATAGATCTGAGTGTATATATGTATATATATACACATATATATAACTCAATAGCAAAAAAATCCAATCCAAAAATAAATAAATAAAAAATAAAAATAAATAAAAATGGGCAAAGATCTGAATAGACATTTTTCTGAAGAATACATGGCAAATGGCCAATTGGTACTCAAAATCACTAATCATCAGGTATATGCAAATCAAAACCATAATGAACTATCACCTCATACCTGTTAAAATGGCTTTATCAAAAAGATGAGATAACAAGTGTTGGAGAGAATGTGGAAAAAAGAAACTCTTGTATACTTTGAGTAGGATTGTAATTTGTTATAGGCATACGGAAAACAGTATACAAGTTTCTCAAAATGTTAATAGAACTATATGATACAGCAATCCCTTTTCTGGGTATATATCTGAAGGAAAAGAAATCGGTATCTTGAAGAAATATCTGCACCTTCCTGTTCATCATAGCTTTATTCACAATAGCCAACATATAGAAACAACCTAAATGTCCACTGATAGATAAGGAAGATGTGAGATATATTCAACCATGAGAAAAAGGAAAATCTTGCTATTTACAACATTGTCGAAACTAGAGGACATTATATTAAATGTAATAAGCCAGAGTTAAACACTTCTTGATTAAACTTGTATATAAAATCAAAAGAGAAAAAAAGAAAAGGTCAAATTCATAGAAGCAGAGAGTAGAATGGTAATTATCAGGGGCTTGCAGATGGGGGGGGGGAATGAGGAGATGCTGGTCCAAGGCTGTAAGCCTTCAGTTACAAGATGAATAATTCTGAAGATCTAATGTACATGTAGTTAGTAATATTATGTAGTTAACAATAATGTATTGTATAGCTCAAGTTTCCTAAGAGAGTAAATCTTAAGCATTCCAGCTACAAAAAAAAAGTATGTGAAGTGATTAATGCAATTTTGAAAATCATTTCCAAAAGTATACGTGTACCAAGTCATCTCATTGTACACTTTATATATACAATTTTATCCATTATGCTTCAATAAAGTAGGAAGGAAAACCTATAATAGACATACAAAAGATGAGATAAAAATCAAAGTAAGTAACTGTAAAACATAATCAAATAGCAAAGGAAGTCATCAAAAGTGGAAGAGATTGAAAAAACAATTGCAAAACAGAAGACAATTAGCCAAGTATGAATAGTGAGTGTTCACTTATCAATAATTCTTTTAAATGTAAATGGATTAAACTTACTATTAAAAGGAATACAGTACCTGAATAAGGAAAAAACAAGAACTCACTTTAGGTTTAAAGACACAATAGGCTAAAAGTGAAGTAATGGAAAAAAGATATTTCATGTGAATGGCAATCAAAGAATGTTGGAGTGGCTATACTTCTATCAGAAAAAAATTGTCTTTGTCTAAAACTTTGTCTCGAGACAAAGAAGGACATTATATAATAATAAAAGAGTCAATTCAACAGGAAGATGCAGCAATTTTCACCATATGTGGATCCAACATTGGAACTCCTAAATACATAAAGCAAATATTGACAACTCTAAAGAGGAGAAATTGACAGCAATACAATAATATTAGGAGACTTCATTACCCCACTTTCAATAATGGATAGAACACCCACACAGAAATTCAACAAAGAAGCTCTAGATTGAACAATATAAACAAAATGGACCTAATAGATTTATACAGAATTTTCCACCCAACAGTGGAAATGTACATCTTCCTTGACTGCACGTGATTCTATAAAGTATCTTTCTCAACCACAGTGGAGTAAAACTAGAACTCAGTAATAGCAAAAAGAATGGGAAAATTCACAAATACATGGAAAGAAAACAGCACACTCTCAAACAATGATTGGGTCAAAGAAGAAAGTGCAAGAGAATTTTTAAAAATATCTTGAGACAAGTGAAAACAAAAACACAATGTAATGAAATTTAGAGATGCTGCAAAAACAGTGGGAAGAGGGAAGTTTTAGTGAAAAATGACTACATTAAAATAGAAGATTTTATATAAACAACATAACTTTATGCCTTAATAGAAAAATAAACCATGCCCAATGTTAGAAGGGAGGAAATAATAAAGATTACAGCAGAAATAAATCAAATAGAGAATAGTAAAACACCTTATTCCACCATCTCACTAACAACAGCCTGTTTTTTCAAATTTATGCACATATTGGGTTTTCTTTTTCTAATTTCTTAAAGCAGAAACAGTGAATTGATATGCAGTCTATTCTATTATATCTATATAATGGTAAAATTTCCCTCTCAGCACTACTTTAGTATCATCTCACAAAATTTTATTTAGAATGTTTTTCTTATCATTCAATTCAAAAGACAATATGTTTTTATTTATTTCTTTTTTATTTTTTAAGTAAGCTCCGTACCCAGTGTGGAGCCCAACACCAGGCTTGAACTCGCAGCCCTGAGATCGATACCTGAGCTGAGAACAAAAGTCAGATGCTCAACCGACTGAGCCACCCAGGCGCTGCTTTAGTTTTTGATGTAATGTTCCATGATTCATTGTTTGTGCATAACACCCAGTGCTCCGTGCAGAACGTGCCCTCTTTAATACCCATCACCAGGCTAAACCATCCCCCCACCCCCTCCCCTCTAGAACCCTCAGTTTGTTTCTCAGAGTCCATCCTCTCTCATGGTTCGTCTCCCCCTCTGATTTCACCCTCTTCATTCTTCCTCTCCTGCTATCTTCTTCTTCTTTTTTTTTTTCTTAACATATATTGCATTATTTGTTTCAGAGGTACAGATCTGTGATTCAACAGTCTTGCACAATTCACAGCGCTCACCATAGCACATACCCTCCCCAATGTCTATCACCCAGCCACCCCATCCCTCCCACCCCACCCCCACTCCAGCAACCCTCAGTTTGTTTCCTGAGATTAAGAATTCCTCATATCAGTGAGGTCATATGATACATGTCTTTCTCTGATTGACTTATTTCCTGAGTACACAATATTTAAAACAAGTGCCTGGAAAGGATCCATTGCCAGTATCGTTCTGGCATGCTGTAGGATTCCAGATCCACTAGACAAACAAATTTCTAATAATCTCCTAGAAGGGATTCTGAGCATTCTAAATTTTGCTTCTTCATTAAAAAAAAAAATTTAATGAACTATCCTGATTTAATATCTTTGGAAACTCATAGCTTATTTTCTCTGTCACAAGAATTTGGGTGATTTGGATTTTCTGGGTTTTCATTTATAAATGACTCCTTATTTTTTATATTGTTACATTATTTGAGTCTATAAAAATGCTTATTTACACGTTTATCTTTTCCTTATACTGTCTCCCTTTCAGAAAGATGTTTAAAATCGGATATAACAATTGAAAATGGATTTTTGTCTGAATATGAATTTGCATATCCCTTGAATAAAGAAACACAGTATCAGTGTAAATCAGGATATGTAACACCAGATGGTAAAACTTCAGGATCAATTACATGTCTGCAAAGTGGATGGTCACCTCAACCCACATGTATTAGTGAGTAATTTTATGTTCATATTCATTATCCTCATTATCCTTGTGCAAAAGTTTATTTTAACTTAATTCTTTTCTGGGGGGAGGGACTGACATGGTACCCATTTGAAAAGATAAATGAAAAAATATATAATTTTTTTTACAATTAAGATTAATCACTTGTAGGGTGGAATATCAGTCTATCTTTCAGTTCAAGTTTTCTTCCACTTTAAAACATCCTGTGAGGGCGCCTGGGTGGCTCAGTCATTAAGTGGCTGCCTTCAGCTCAGGTCATGATCCCGGGGCCCTGGGATCGAGCCCCATGTCGGGCTCCCGGCTCCCCGGGAAGCCTGCTTCTCCCTCTCCCACTCCCCCTGCTTGTGTTCCCTCTCGCTGTGTCTCTCTGTGTCAAAAAATAAATAAAATCTTTAAAAATAAATAAATAAAATAAAACATCCTGTGATTTAATTAATTAAATAAAATAAAACATCCTGTGATTTGGAAACTAGATAGGAGCCTTCTGTGTGTTCTCCTATAAACTCATTTATTTTCGGCTGACATCTTTGTCCCTATTGTACCTGTTTTTAGGTGATTAAACCTTTATGTCAGTCTTTTTTCCTAGACATAAAAGTTATGTTTTTAAGTCAAGATCTGGGTCCATAGTGCATAATTTTAATTTAACCTGTAGAATTTACATGTTTGATGGTCAAGGGTAGGTGCACTTCTAAAAAATCCTCTCCCTTAGGAAATCTTCATAAACATATGATTAGTGGAGACAGAAATGTTTCCAG